CCGCTTCCACCGCAAACTGTTGCGCAATCTTTTCAAAACTTCCAAGTAGAAAGCCTGGTTAACTGTCTGACCCTGCGGAACAAACTCTGAATGGACGACTCCTCTCACATCGAAAAAACAAATCAGCATTATTTTCATGTTTGATTTCACCTGACGAGCTTTCTTGGGGCGAGGCGAACTTCCGCTGGCTTGATTGTTGCTTTGATTCAGGATCGTAAGCATAGCACCAGGTTTCGTCACCGGTGATAATTTTTGAAAAAAAGTTTTGATCATTTCGGGACTCTTCTTTCAAAGCACAGCATGCTTCCACGCGACCTTGTTTTTGTTCAGCAGTCAGCAGTCGTGGCACGAATTTCGCAGCCACCCTTTTCATTCCCAAATCTTCTGTCAAAATTCGCTGAACTGAGCTCCAAGTCACTCCCGACAGCTCCACAATTTCTTCAATGGTCCATCATCGATCTTCCTTAATGATTTCATGAATTTTTTTCAACATTTTCATGTGTTCGGGCCGTGGAAGGACGACCAGAACGAGGTTTGTCATCAATTGACATTTCACCATTTTTGAAATGGGAAAACCACTCAAACACTTGAGTTTTCCCCTTAGCATCGTCCTTGTACGCCGTTTTTAACATTTCAAGAGTTTCTGTTCCACTTTTCCCGAGCAAAAAGCAGAATTTCACCGCCACACGCTGTTCATGAAAATCAGCCATTGCAAAAACGACGATCACACAAAACAGTTGTCACTATAAACTCTGCCTAAACTAGTCCTTACCTTCTGAAGCAACGGTAGTCGGCTTATTGACTCAGGAATGTTAGCTCTATGCGCTCATAGCGGCAAAACGCAGTACTACAAAAGCTCTGCCCACAAAAAAATTAATTCGGTTTCTTTTTGGTACCCCATCATATGCTTGTCAGTGAGAAGCTTCACATTTTCTCTTGAACTGTAGTTCACCTCTTGAAATTGATACTGGCAATGCAGTTGGAGAGGCTTACAACTACATTTGCTACATGGATCGATCCTGAATAAGACAGAAAATCTCATCACAGATTCTGTGAAGTAACTTATGCAACTTTTACAATTATGTCATCACTAGAAATTAAAGCAGTGTTCTGAAACACAATGTAGAACACTACAAAGGGCCAGAAAAAAATATATATATATAAAATTAAGAATGTGAATGCACTTTGTTACTGACAGTATTATCACAGAGGGTTTACTTATTTATTTAACTGAAGCTATCACTTCATGGCCATCATTTTAGTGATCATGCATCTTCAAAATCTGCAGTTAAAATAGGACCATATCTTGCCGCCCTCCTCTTCTTCTTCTGTCGTCGTTACCGCTCAGTGAGACTTCAAGCCTCTCGAGTTGGTCGTCACTTATTACCATCCTTCACGTCCGCCCCTTTGTGGGCTGCACTTGTATCCGCCGCTTCCTGTTGCTTTCTGGTTCAGGGTAAGGAGTGGGATTATTCTGAATTTGGATTTGTGTGGGCGCCAGTGGACTTGGATGACATCCACGAGTTTTGAATGGGGAAAACAAAGGTGGGGATTTGGATGGGGGGGACGTTTGGGGTTCCGACTGCTCAGACGGCAGGACGAGATTCTGTCTCAGGGCGACTAATGGGCCTTGCTCACACAGGGAGAGAGAAAACACTGAAAAACACACCCTTCACCAACACTGTTGCGTTTATTGTAGATGTTCACTACAATTACCTATTACCCGGCTGTAGCACTTTGAATTGTACACTGGACTCGGGCCAACACCGATTTAACGTCCGGGAGGTTACTACTGACTCCGGTTATTCCCTTTGGCTAATCACTCCCGCTATTTCCTTCTGATGACTGACTGCTCTGGAGAGGCAGAAGTCCCGACGGTTCCGGGAACGCCTGGATTCCTCTCCTCTGAAATTTTGCTGATTGGCTGAACCTCAAATTTGGGTGTTTCTTTCATTTGCATTCAGCCAATCCCTAACCAGATCCATGTTAATTTGGGCCTAAGTACAACACGGTCCCTCTGACAGCTCTTAAATAAATGGAGGTACGCTAACAATCGCTCGGTACGCCCCTTCGAAAATTATTGCGACTCGTTTCTGTCAAGTCTCAAATTTTCAAAGACTCGAACCGTCAAAGTTAAGCATTGAAATCCCCAGAAAACACAGCGGGATACTTCCTGCTCCATTCTGGGTTTTCAAGTGACCTGCAGCTTGCTTGTCCCTCAGAAAGACCAGATGTTGTCCTTGGCGTCTGCTGGTGCTGGGGTCAATTCTGTATCATCTATTGTTAACAGTAGTACATTTCGTTTCCATGTAGTGCATTGTAATTAACAATGTAAATGAAAAACATTCCTGAGGTCCCAGCATGGTGCGGTTACACTCCCCAAACGAGGGTTGGCCTCGATCGAGACTCGATTCGAACCCAAGACTCGCTTGCATGCCGGTGATCTCCTCTTGCTTAACTATGTATCTAACTATGCTAAATATCTAAGCCTAAAGTAATAATCTAATTTCCTCTACTCTCTCTTAATCACTAAGTTTTTACAATTTGAAATTTCAGTTATCACACCAATTATTGATAGTGCCACTGTCACTTCGTGTCTTTCAGTTCATTCTTTCCTTCTCACTCTCACAGCACTGCACTGTAGCACTATACACTTGGAGTAGAGCTACCTCCCACTCTTTCTTCCACTGAACGGCCTACCGCTTCGAGTCGTTCTAGGGCTGGCCCTTTAAACTTTAGCCTAACAAAACGTTTGTAATTCACTCCTGCTAGTACAACGGTACGGGGTTTCCATTCACTCTCTCTTTCATTT